ATATTTGACCAGATGGGCAGACCCTCTCGTGAAATTGTACGGCCAGCTGTGGCGCAGAAGAGCCCGAAGCAGAGCGGCCTGGAAGATGTGCGACCTGCGTTTCTGGCGTGCCCGGGACGAATAGCGGTCGAGAAGTAAGTGAAGTAAGCAAGTAAGAAGTAACTCAAATAAGGGAGTATGACAGGGACACTTAAAGCGATCGCCTTAAAATGCAAATATCCTAGCGGCAATGTTACATCCGATTCAAAATAAGTCACTGCAGTCGAGTATCTGTTCCCTTCAGACAAATGTTATGCGAAATGGAGCACTCTTCCGTAAGTCACTAAAATCTGAATAAAAGCAACGCCGTACCTGCTCGTTGGCAAAATACGTGGCACAGTGAAGAGCAGTAAAAAGGACGAAGTCGTTCGCCTCCAGAGAAGCACCATCGGTCACCAGCGCCTGGAACAGAATTTCAGCAAGATCCCAGAGATTGGAAAGGGAATGGAGCCTTCGAGGTTTTTGCCCAAGCAGGCTTCCCCTATAGCCAGGTGTAGGATTAGTGTAGGACTAGGAGATTAGATTAGACTAGAGATCTTTGAGATTCCCATTTATGCGACGCCTTCAGGTTCTCTCCCCAAATCTGCCCTGTCTCTTTTAGAAGGGGATAGAAGATCCCCTGTTAGTATGCCGTTTCCCGAAATGCATAGCTTTCGAGGCGTAAACTATCAGGACCACATTAGAAGAAAGCAGCATTCATTCTCCAGCATGACTGGCGCTCTATCAGAGTCAACCACTGCAACGAGGAGAATCAGCACGATTACGTTCTCCCTCTCCCTATCTCCCTCCCTATCTCCCTCTCTCTCCCTACTTTTCATGTGGAGCAGTTTTCGCACGACCTCGTTCCTACTACCTCGTGTCTATACTGCGCGCTCCTTCATGTGGTAGGTAGTCACTGGAATTCTTATCTCTCTTCTCCAATAGAACGAAAAGGGAGAAAACCCAACTCCAACCTCCTGTCAATCTCTCAAAGGTCTTCCTTGTCTCTAAGTTTCTCTTGTTTACCCTCCCAATGTCTTTTAAAAGCCCCGCTACGACTCCACTTGTAGGGAATTCCGAACAGACGACTGACCGTGTACTCCACTAGTGAAACTATTAAGACATGCCACTCACCCACAAAACGCATAACACAGCAGTACTGGAACGGAATAATGGCTTGAAATAGTACTGCGTTAACCCGGAGAGGGTGCTTGCACCATAAACAGATACGCTTCTTCTTGTAGGATTTCTGCGGCACGCGATGACCATCCATTTTTAGTGAAAAATTATGAGGGTACGAGCGATGCAAGCTACGAAGCTCTCACATTAATAACAGATTTCTTCTAAGGGCCTTGTACTAACAACGATCCTACAATCGGCAATCTATCACTGTTATTCAGAAAGCAGCACCTGCGCTATCGATGAACTTCCGATCATAGCGGCAAGATGGAGAGGAGGCAGCTGATGTCGTCCTCCTAGGCAAGGATCGGCTCCACATTCCAGCAAACTTTTCACCAACGCTAGATCACCCTGAAGTAGAATCATTTTTGAAAGTGTATGCATCTTTCCAGAGCTACAGCAAACGAGGCTTCTCGAAACACAAATATCCAGCATTACTCATTCTCCGAACAAGCAGACGCTAGTCACCCTTGAAAAGTATGTATGATTCATTTTTGAATATGGATTGTTCCAGAGCTAAATCGATTATTTACAAAAGATCCAATTAATAAACAAGAAACTATTAAGATGATTAGTTCAGGCCCCAGAAAGTAGAATTGCTGCTTTCCAGCTTCGCAATCATTATATATTCATACCTCCCTCTTCTCCCACACAGTTCCAAAACGCTTTTCCAGCCCCTCGACGGCAGTCTACGAGGCACAGAAGGAGGTTTTGGGGGCGGAAGTAGTGATATGTTTACTATGCAACTAGGTTACATTACAACACCACAGATCCAATCAGATAGAAAGGGTCCTATTAATGAGGGGTGAGGGGGTTACCATAACCTTCGTTAGATGGTCGTTCTGCGCAGTAAACTCATCGACGCGTTGTATAGCTTACCCTCGAGATGTCATTAAATAATAAGTCAGAATTCTCTGTTTAGGCTCTGAGTGTTAGTCGTCACCTTGTAGACGGCCACGTGCAGGGCCGAGAATCCGTTGTTTGACAGATTTGCAGATAGGATGGTTGTGTCTTTCTGGTGATCATACACTCGTCACAATGCATTCAAACGAATTAGTTGTGAGTTTTCGACCTGCTTAAAATACAGCTGAATTACAATTCGTGCAGGGAAAATCGCCGAGCTTTTTGAACATGGACCCTAACCGGAGTCATCCCTGTTCCTGCACAGGACTCAAATGAAGAGAGTGCGATGCCTGTTGGCGGCGTGTCGACATTCCGATGGACTTTCGTGTGAGTATGTCGTGAAGAATTTCCTCGCGCGTTCTTTCACTGATAGCAATTAGGCCAATGCTAAGTGATTGGATTCTTTTCAATGGCTAATTATTCTTTTAAAACTGAGTCAGAGAAGTGTGTTAAAAGCGTTCTTTAAAAACCACCAGTGAAACATGGAAATGACGATATGCTAAAGTCGTAGCTGTAGCATTAGAGCTCCAAGTGGGATGTGGGATGCAGGGAAAGCTGGGAGGGCAGGGTTGTGGGGGGGGGGGTGAGTTATACGAGGGGTGAATTTTCGCGCTGATAATTTTCCCCTATGAGAGGGTAATTGAGGTTCCTGATTACGAAAATGACATCCATTTTTGGCGCTGGCGCCATCTGGCGCCAGTTGGCGCCACCTTGTCACGACACTGTTTTCACCAAATTCGGTGTAAACTTCTGTATAGGGGTTATTTGGTGTCCTGATTACGAATATGACATTCATTTTTGGCACTAGAGCCATCTAACGCATGTTTTCTGCTGTCTGAGATCCCGAAGTGGGTATACTACGCACCGTTTGACAAAATTTGAAGTGTGTTAGATCACAGGTGAGTGCCTACTCACTTTGGAGCCCTCCACTATTCAAAGGCTTAGTCCTGATTGCGATCTAATTAGTGCGAGGGCGCAGACGAGCAGGAAATAGGCGCCAAATAGCGCCAACAACAAAAACGAATGTCATATTCGTTAGGGCCCAAATAACCCCTATACACAAGTTTGCAATTTGGTGGAACAGCCGTGGCGCCAGATAGCGCGAGCGCTAAAAATGGATGCCCTATTCGTGAATAGGACCTCCACAACCCCATAGGAAAGTTTCATCAGCAAAAAATTTTTTGACCCGCCTCTCCCTCCCCCCCCCCGCCTGCTGGGGTTGGAATAGTGCAATAGTGCCGATGCTCATACCTACTGGGGGAGTGGAACAGAGTTCGTTCCCGGTTCCTTATCAAACGCGAACCACAACGTAAACAAGACCGCTACGAGTCGAATCCACTCTACTAATATTCGTTACGGAACGCATGCGACTCTTTTTTGTCTAGTTCTTTTTTCGAAGAAGGAGCGACCTTCACACTTAACATAATCACTTTTTGATGCTCTTTTGCGGCCAATGCTATGGAGAGTCGACCTGCTTTCGAAGTCGGTGCGTTCGCCTAATATTCTCTTGGTTGTCCATATTTGTTCTGGTTCAGTCTCCTTCGTTCCGGCCTTCTTTAGACCTCGCACTATTCATCATTCTGTTTGTTGTTCCTGCTCACAACTAGTCAATTGTTTCGCTCACTGTAACTTCATAAAGTTTGGTCGAAAATCAGTTTTGGCGCTGTTTACGGGGAGGAAAGGGCATTTTGGAGCACTTGATCGTGCGGACAATGGGAATCCCAACTTTGTATAGGCTTCAATAATACGCCACTTATTCAATTCTTTATGCAGTACATTATTTGGTCCTGGGTGATGTGAAGTAGCAATTTTGACGCTTTCGAGGAAAGTAGCTTTCGATTGGTGATAAGATTCACATGAAGTCACGCATTGCGCAAGTTCTTTTCTCCTCTCAGACGTTAGCGTAAAGTTCCATTGCGTAGTTAGTTTTGGGTGCACTGTACCAAAACGCCATCTCCCTTCAGGTAATCACTGACTTAGTTTGTGGTGCTTGAAAAATCATAAATAAGCAGCGAATATACGGTGCCATCCTACAATGAGGGTCACATCGTACATACTCGACGATGGGTGCGTGGCACAGATCACGACACCAGCCAAGTGCGATCCTGATTGAATGCGTCGGTGGCACCTATGTATACATTCGTAGATGAAGGAAAGGTGAGTGAGTCAACGATGCACTTTTGAAATCAAGGAGCGATCAGCGATAATGAACGTGCCTCAGGTGGGAAGCTCGTCGATATAGATGAACGATGTGGGTTGATCTTTCCGGAAGAAAAACAAGCCAACCTTGCCCACTCGGAAATACCCAACGGCAGCGCTTCCACACTATGCACCAAATGGTGGTTTTTTGCCCCTCGCAAGGATTTCTATGCGGGTTATGTTGTGACTCCAGGTGCGGTGAGACCAGACAAATTGCGCGGTACCAAGACTTGAAAAGGTTCCATTTTCTACAGTATTAGGGCATATTCGTCGTCCCAGGTAGGCTGAAGCAGAACACCAACACTCAACAGTGGTACCCCTTCAAAGATTTGTAACCAATGGTGACAGCGTGGTGCGCATGCGCGTCAGTTTCACTCGGATGCCTCATTGGGTTCGAGTTATTTGGTACTCTCGTATTCTGGAATTGTCCGTCTATATGATAGGATTCAAAAGTGAAGTGTTTATTCCCATGTAATAATCTGAAAAATTATGAGATACTTGTGGCGAAGTGGGTAAGGACAAGTGCGCGCGCTCACCACGCGAGCGGTCCGGGATCAATTCCTGGGTCGTGAGTCGCCCGGCTTCTCCTCCGGGGTCGGTTAATTGGTACCAGACTTGTCTGGGAGGATAAAAAAACTGACTTGTACATCGGCTGGCCCCCGCAAGTCATTGTATAGGCCACATCGCATTCAAACGCCACTGCGAATGTACAAATGGAAGTAGAATGCGTGCCGCATCCCAAAAAGGGATTGATCAACGGCAAATGCTTTATCCTTATCCTTTTAATGGAGATATTTCGAAAGATATTCAAACAGGATGCAGCGACGCACAACGGGCTGTCCTTAATGTGCTAAAGCCCTGATAGGGAATGAGTTACACCTTGCTAGCAAGGATAGTTGATGTACTTTCTGCAGACCCCTTCAATCAGCCGACCATGGCGCTTGTTTGCTGTCTGCGGGACTCAATCTCTCTGGTAGTGCTTGCTGGGTGTGGCTTCTGCGACCTGCAGAATCGCAGCTTTCGCGTCCAACTGGCGTAAGATTGATGGCACCCGTGCAAAATAATTGTTGTCGAAAAGTACGATGAATAAGATAAGATCACTGCACATGCCAAAGGCTATGGAGCGTGACTATTCAAAACGGATGGAGTTGGACCATCTGCTGTTCCAAAAATACTACATGAACAAATCAAAACAAGGTGAAAGCATGCGATATTTGTATGCGATGAAACTCACAATGCAGCAATTTGGAGAGGTGTCCATGTGGAGTTCCTTGCCTTGATATCGTCATTCAGCCGACTTCTCACAACTGCATACCCTTCACTGATTTTCTTCTTCAACTCATCTGAAAACTCGTTAAAGTAGCCAGCGTTGACAATAAACCAACTTTGTTTCCCTTTCATACCAACAACCATCTTGGATTTGAGTATTTGTAAGGATAAAAGGGAGGCACTACTACCCGTGTACGTACCGCAAGTCCCCATCAATGGAATAGGTCCATTTTGAAAGGTAATTGTCTCACCATAGCGAGGATATGAGTGGCAACCAGGTCAACTGTGCGTTGCACATTTCTTGAATGGGCGTCGTGTCTGAGGTTTTCTGCAGGAGGGGTCATGTTTTAGGTCGGCGAAATTCAAACGGTGGAAGAAAGAAGGATCGTACTTTGGAAGTTGAAACGGTGGTGGTAGGAGAGGGGGATCGGTTTTGGGGACCTTGTGACGATTGTGGATAAACCTTCAAGAAAAAATCAGAAGTAAGAAAATTTGTAGCATTTCTCGTCCCTGTAGACATATTTACCCCCTCCCAATCGACGGTCCATTTTGGAGAGAAAAGTGGGTAGATTGAGCTGTGTCGACTAGTCTAAGAATACTGTTGAAACAGTCATGATGATGAGGGTAATGATGGGGAGGAGGAAAGGAGATCGCAGGGTCCCCCAAGGATGATGACGATGGTGGGGGGGCAGTATCGAGACCCCCAATGAGCGCCTAGAGTGCCTAAAGTCGCGAAATTTTCAAAATTTGCGCAACGCACTGCTGGCAACCATGTCATGAATGAGTAGCCTACAAAGGACCCACGGAAGTAGACTATCAAAACGAGGAACGCCTCGGTAGAAGGGTCCATGGATTTGTTTTGATTTGGAACGCTGAGCACGTTCTTAATGAAAAGAACACCACAAAAATAGCAAACAGGAGAGGATGGCAAGTGGAAAATTTACTATGTACACTATGAACGTGCTCTTGATAGAGACAACCCTCCAAAGATTCAATGGCATTAACGTAGCCGTGCCCAGCAAATGGTTTCCTCAGACATGTCACTGAATCCCTAAAAGAAAATATAAATTAGCAGGAGAATTTTGACGCGAACGAAGCTATTCCAGAGCGCGCGAGAAGGGCCAACGTTAAGCAAACTTCGCGAACGCTAGTCTCCATGCTCCTCATGTAACAATTCAGCGAGCTGATGCTTTATGTCAGGTAATGCTAGCCCGTGGGCAAGAACCATGAAAGAAATTTGCTGAAATGGGATGTTAGGATGGAACTGAGACAGTATTGCGAAGAGATTACTTCAAAATACGTTTGGGTTTCCAAGTAGTGCCTGTATTCAAGTGAAGGGGCTGGGATGGCACGAAGACAGGTTGAGAAGGCCCAGAACACACCATTACCGATAACAAAAGCACCGAATTCTTTCGCCAAGGGTCGGTCCACGAGGGGGTTCAAAAAACGAGTAGCACCGACGTTATCAAAAGGACCTCGCCGATGTTAATGCGTGAGGCGATGACTTGATTAGGAGAATATGATCACGTTTGACCAGTACAGCGGACTTTGCGATGGCTGGTACACAACGATAAAGATAAGAAAGGGAGAATTCTACACCAACTGGCCGAGTTCAGGGAGCTCTTAAAGCAACTGGTCAAGGCGTAAAGGGCTTATAATGTGCAAGTCGTTAGGAACCCCTTTTTTGCACCCTAGTGGTAGGCACGCAAAATCGAGATCGACTATTCTGAATAACGGTAGGAATGTAAAAAAGTGAAAAATATGGGAAAAAAGTGAAGAAA